AAGGAAAGTTGTCCAGTCAAATCAAATTAATATATGTTAAGGTCCCTGTTCTCTACCAGCAACAGTCGGAGGGCCCAATAGGACAGCATCTGAGAACGATCTGTAAGGCTCGAAGCCATATCGATTACGCTTGGGATGATCTTTATGGAAGTCGACGGATTGTATTGCAGGTACGCAGAGGATTTTGAATTCCCTGAAGTGGTTCCTTAATATTTTTGTCGGATTTTTTGCAGTTGTATAACACAGGGGCTAACGGAGGTTTCTTAAAATGGGCTATCATGCTTATAAGCCATTTTTGTGCTCTTCTGACCTGCATTTTACCTCGGGCTGCAGAGGTTTCCTATCTCAAGTCTCTCGTTTAAACCTTCGATTTGCCTTGGTTCGCTATCGAAACAAACTTAATGGTGTTGTACTTTGCGAGGAGTAATAATATGATTTTTTAGCCCTCTGTTTTTTCCATAAGCGCCCTGGTCCCTCAAAATGCTAATTGGTCATCTCCACCTTAGTGTATGAAAAATGCGGTGCTGGCATGTGCCAGACAATTGTTAAAGGCAGTGGTGGCATATGCCAAGCAATTGTTAAAATGATAGTCTCTTGAGGTTCCAGTTTAGCATTGATGAATATTTCGTACAGGTGTACGAGAACAAAAGCCATGTGTACGATCCATCGATACCAGGAATCGGTCCGCAACTCGTCTATGAAAACAATGTGTACATTCAACTGGCTGCTTCTTTCAATGAGTTGGTGGTTTTGGTTCTGTTTAGGGTTTGCATAGGTTTTTTTCCATTCTTTTCCAGTTTTAATATCACCGGCAACAAGAAAACAGATGAGTGTGAGTTGGTGTTGGAAACAATGCAGAAAGGAAAAGTCATGCTGAATAAGCAGAACAGAATAGATGCAAAGTGAGTGAATTGCATTCGCTGTTACATTCCTCCAGTCCGGTCCCGAAATCTTTTTCTAGTACCGCACCTTCTTTGTCCAATTTTTTTGGTCCATTTTATGACGCTATTAGTCATTCGGGCCAAAAATATCGCCGATGACATACGTCGCCAAGCTACCGCTGCTGCTTTTTCTTTCTCAAGCAGCAGTGATCGGTAGTTTTTCTTAGTCCATTTAGTCATGGTTACCAAAAGGACTCAGACCATTTTGTCACTTGCGCGCAGTCTCATTCTTTGAGCGACTTTTCAACTATTGTTTGCAAACCCGATTCTGCACCTTTCTCCCTTGGTCGTAGTTTTATGGACCAGCCTTTTCAATTTCACTACTTGAGTCTTTAAACTCAGTAGTCCCAATGTGGTGCTATCTTGCTCATCAGTTGGGAATATGGCATGTGGGGTGGGGATGTTTCACATTTGCGGACATTGTATCGAATCCTAGTAAGTTCCGCCCATGACAACCAAACTCCTATCGCTCAGGATATGAGTTGAGATTGGACGCCACAAATTTGGATTGATGAAAAGGGTGGCTGATTCGTATATCAGTGCTGTCGCACGATTTCTCGTAGAATTTCTCGGTTTCGCCGGGTTACGAAATCAATTTTCCCCCATTGCAGGACTTCAAACCGCCAAACTCGCTATCAGGACAAGTGCCAAGTGTACTCCACCGCGTCCGGGCACGGTTTCCAACTCAGCTTTTCATTTGGCTTTTCTCTCAATTTCCCATAAACACACATGCGAAACATGATTATGACTGCAAGAGAAATGCGTGGCGTATCCCGGGCTCACGACCAATCTAGTGTCGAAATAATCCTTCCTTTGTGCTATATATGTGCCACAACATACATTGATAACTATGTGTAGCGATGTTAACAACTCTTACAGCAGCGGCAATCAACTGTGGGTAATATGCAGAGATGGGTGTATAGAAAACGTTGGCATGTCACATCGCTCGAAAACTCGAATTGTTAGTCATTTAGAACGTTCAGTATAGCGAAAGCCTAGAATCAATGCCTATCTTTTTGTCGTTTAGGTTTTGGACGTTCTGGAGCGAATGGGTTTTCAGCTGATGATGACACCCCGCTCGTCGTCTCGTGATCGATATCAAAAATGGACGTTGTCGCCGGTTTGTTTGTGTCGTTTCCTTAAAGGACGAATTCACGATTAGAATGAAGGTCGAAGAAGGAGTAATTCACCTAGTTGAGGGACCCGCGGACCTCCTAAGGGTGCGGACTGAAGCGCAATTGGCACCGAAGGAGTTGACCTCGGCGACCTATTAAGGCTCAATCTTGGCGCGGTGGGCCAGTGCACGCCCACCGATCATCTGATCACTCGCCGCAGGTCTATACGTGGCGAGTGATTAGATAGGTGAGAGAGCGTAGTGTTGAAGAGGGCACAGCGATGATAGTCGCATCAATGCTCAAATCAACGGGCAAGGAAGGGGTCCCATTTCTCGGGTTCTGGGCCGTTTCTCATCCTCATCACCATCGCTAAGTTAATTTGAAATGGGTTGCCTTTCCAGCGTGAATTCGTCCAGCGGGCGCTGCTGTGGGGTTGTAAAAAAAAGGACCAGTATAGTACATATTTAGGATGGACGACTGTGGTGTGAAGGCTTTCCAGACATGGCTGTCACTCATAAAACACCTAATATATTCCTGGCTAAAAATGAACCGTATGATGATGATATCATGCCAGCATCATCACAGGTAGAGAGAAATTTGCGCTTTTATTGAGACATTTTTCAAATGAGTATTCACTGAAAGAAATCTTGACTCCCACCATTGTCTAGGTATGGCGAATTCAGCGACAGCGACCTGGCAGTGGTACCTTGGAAGTGGAGTGTCTGCACAGTGGGCCAACGTTGGTGGGTTACTTGATATTTTGCTCACGAAGAGCAAGTTTCCCATGGGTTTCATGATTTTCAGGTCGTTCGCATTACTGATCGGGAAGATCGAATGAGGACTTTGTCCATGCCTGTGATACCGAAGCAAAAGATCAGGTTATTTTCTTTTCCACTTTCACTAGTGCTAATTATATGTCACTATTATAAGGGTACATTCCACTAGCAATTTGGTGTGATTCTTGCACAAAAAAATGAAATTATGGACACGAACCAGACAGGCAGTGATGAAAGAACAGACTAAAGGATGACTGAAAAACGCTGGGATCAGAGCTTCCAGTTTTGTGCGAAAAGCACAAAAATACCTGAACCTAGAGAGGGAGGATAAGCAAGTTCACAGCGCTTCGGGAGGAAATATGTAGGGGATGGGAAAAGCGTTCAGTTATGAAGCTAGAGGTGGGAGGTGGTCTGGAAAAGAGAAGGAAAGCAAACGAAACCACCGATTACGCCCCGCACAGAGACCTCCCCTATTTCAGCCGCATTCCACCTTGGGATAGAGAAGGGGCGCGTTGGACGAGTTTCACGAACCTAACTCTAGTTGCTCCAGTGCCAATGACATTGGGTCGCAATGGGACGCGCTGTCGATCAAATGGGCCCGCGCTTTTCAAGCAGCGGACAGCGGAGGGTGGGGTTTGCGGACAGGTGTAAGTTGCGGGTCGGACGAGCTCCTTGCGCCCTTGTCGCGCACATTTTAAAGGTGCACGCTCCGCGATTAGGCGGGCTCGCCTGTTCCATCCAGGGGGTAGTAGGCAGGTGGACAAGTGTTGATGTCGGGCCCCTTTTGCGGCTTGAAAGTACGCGACAAAGGCGCAAGGAGCTCGTCCAACCCGCAACTCACACCTTCGTCCGCAAGCCCCACCCTTCGCTGTCGGTTGCCACGTGGCGCTGCTTGAAAAGCGCGGCGGTCCCATCGGGATCCAACGTCATCGGCACAGGAGCAAGTAGAGTTAGGTTATGAACTCGTCCAATTCGCCTCTTCTCTCTATCCCAAGGTGGAATGTGGCTGAAATAGGGGAGGTCTCTGTACGGGGCGTAATCGGTGGTTTCGTTTGCTTTCCTTCTCTTTTACAGACCACCTCCCACCTATAGCTTCATAACTGAACGCTTTTCCACACCTATTTTATCCCGAATCTTGCCTTTTAAGCGGCAAAAGGTGGCGCAAGAATCAATTGCTTGGTCCGCATCAACGCTTGTCCGCCTGTCTACTACCACGGGATGGAACAAGCAAGCGCGCCTAATCCCGTAGCGTGCCTTAAGTGACTGATCCATCTGAACTCATCGTGTTGTGCCTTTAGTACAGCAATACGATGTGAAAATGACCTCTGAGAATCGTAGCATATCGGCGACGTAACAAGGTGATCAGCAAGCTCAATGTGACCCTGCCATTTCTGTGGCACCACTGGGCTCGAAATCAGCTAGCCATCTTTGGACGCATCCCCCTATTCTTGATCACGGGGACTGTGTCAGCGTCCGGAGTAGAGACACAGAGTTTTGGGGACCATTCCATGGACACATTTCCCTATTCTTGAACTACGTTATCGACCGGAGTAGAGGCATAGAGTCTTGGGGACCCACCCACTTGCCGGAGCTTGCTGCACCCGGCCCCAGGCGCGGTCCAACTTTTGACTGTTTTTTTGTGTACTCCAATGATTTGTGCACGGCTGTCATGTTGTCCGTGAGGCAATAAGTAAGAATATCGAGGTTTTGATGAAGGTTTTGTTAACTCTTTTCTTCTTGGCTTTTTCACAAGTGTTTTTCAAGATCTTTAGCTTCGTCCCAGTCCCATGCACTCTTTAACACATTCACAACAACGCATTTGTTTTTTGCTCGGAAGCGACCAAAAATTTAGTTCGGCTTAGAAATTCTTCTCTAGAAATGTATACTAAACTTTTAATCCATCATTATTGCGTTGATATCGAAAAATATTCAAAAAACTACGGTATAGCGATTCCCCATCGACTATTAGCTGGCAAGCCTATGGGACGTCGCAGGCGTGGATGTGTTGAGATGGAGAGTCCTTCATGAACTTTTGAAAGTTACAACAGCTGGCCTATGGATGCTTTGATGTTGAAATTGCTTCCAGTGGGATTGGAAATCAACGTGACGATGCGAGCCGGCATTGGTGTCTCGTTAGTGAATGGATCGCATGAAGAGCTGCTGTATGCTCGATTCGGTGGGATTGTGTTAAGTGCACGTCGTATGGACGAGACTTATCAGATGACTGGAAGTGTGGACGTCATTCAGGTGACAATTTAGTCTTTTATAGCCTACAGGTTAATTTGGTATTCTTAATGTTTTGAAATTCTGTGACATAAAAAATAAGGATTTGCTTCGGTGACGGTGACAAAAAATCTTCAAAATACTCATGTGTTTGAGTTTTGCTTGACACTGCAAATTATTTCTTTCTTTCTAAAAATATATAGACTCAATCAATAGAGAGTCCAAATGCTGATGTTTATCAATTCATCAGAGTTTAGATTGACAATCAGCTGTTGAATTCGGACAAATGGCAAGTTCTTTACTGTCAACCGGAACTGCTCATGCCTGATGATTATGGTCATTCTCCGTGGGCGAATGGAGATCTTCCACCAGGCGTAAGCATTCTTATCGATTTTTTTTGCACAGCTTCATAACTGTGATTTCCGATCATTATTACGTCTGAATGATTTTATTGATGTTATGCATTTGAATAATAATGTACGCCAACTTTGTATATCTCCCTTGCAGGTTTCTGGCACGGCTAGACCAGCTTTGAAACTAGAGATGAACTGCACGCCGATGAAGCACTACGACGCGTTCGATGTAGGTTTTAATTTTATTTTTTGTGTGTCATTTAGTACAGGATGTATAGTTCAAGATTATGCTGTGGTATTGTTTTGGTATCCTTATTCTTCTCTTTTTCTGGTAAACCCTGCTGAACTCATTGCTAATAATCGCTTATGCGAACTCATTGCTAATAATCGCTTATGCTTCATTTACCTAATCACGCCGTCAATTCACTCTAGTTATTTGGAAAATTGACGAAGAGTTTTGAGACTGGTTGTCGTTATCACTCCAAAAATCGCTACCAGCCCAATGTTGGTAGAGATCTTACGGCATCCATAATTTCTTACTGTCGCCTTTTACCACTTGTTATCAGTTAGAGGCTGCTACCGCTACTGACCGCTTGAGGTCTATCCATCTGTCATTTACTCTGGTAGAAGTAGTCCTATTCGACCCAAAAACGTGCCACTTGAGATTACATTCTCAGACCGACATACGAAAGTAGCTTCATCAGATATCTGAAGTAAATCTGGTGAAATGGCATGATATGTCTGAGTAGCGGAGGAAGATCGTATGAGTTCCCTATCCATTTGCATGACTTTCAGTGCTTCCGTATAAAGCTGTGTGATCTGGATGTGCAGTTGGACGAGCTGCTGCTGTGGAAGCTTGTGCAGTTTGCCCAGGCGTCGGATGCAGCGTCTAGTGTTCAACAAAGGACACTCAGTTTGCCGCCTAATACAGAGTACGTGGGTTTGAAGTAAAGTGAAAGATTGTAGTGGTTTCGTAATGAGATAATTTTTGATGACAAAATTAACGAAACAAATGAAAAAGAAATCGATTAGGAATGGTTCGATTTTAAAGGTACACAATCCTTGTAATTTACACATGACAGCAGCACGTAGCGCTCTGAGGACATGGGAAATGGGTTTGACTTAATTGAGTTGTAGATCGAGGGACTGTGTAAAGCTGGATCTGCTTTCATTAGAACATTCCAAACATTTGAAATTTGACTGTAGTTGAAGCGAAGAAATCACTGTGGTCGAACTTTTCGGCCCAAAGATTTCACAAGGTATATACCGAGGATATTATTTTTAGTTTGGAGCGGACCGATCCGTTACGAACAAGGCGATGGTACTTCGGCACTTTGGATCTGGAAATGGGACAAATTGCTCTGAGCGGTAAATAATCATTAATTTTAGGAATAACTATTACTTAATACTAATTGAAGCGTCAACATGACTTGATGCTATTGCAGTTGTGACCGTGTCAAAGTCAAGTCTTCCACCCGAATGCCGACAGTTGAAGCAGCAGTTCAATATGAAATTGGTTTCATTCGAAAATGCTGCAGTGTATTTGCCGCCATTCCGGCAATTCCACTACTTCGAGACCAGTTCCTTTCTTCTGGAAAGTCTCCAGAAGTTTTATTTCGGTAAGATTCTGACGATACGGCATTGGCAGCTTCGATATAGTGCTTAAATGTGTTCATTTGAAGCTGAACTCCAAAAGCAGACGTTGAACATCGTGGTGACGCTGGATGCGTTCGGTAACCCGCAAGGTTTGGTGACGGACTTGAAGGATTCGTTCCAGGTGATCACATAGCTTTGCTTTTCTTCTATTTCGAATTCAAGAGTTGAGAACCTAAAATTACCT